TGAAGTGAAAATCTCTTCCTATCACAGTAACAAGCAAAAAGGTTCAGTAATTGCACTTCATTCACCACTGTAACTATCACTGACATTCATGAGAGGTATCAGTTCCCTGTTTTTATGCTTTTACAGTTGTGTTTTCTCTCTTTCCCCCTAGAATTCCTTTTTTTTTTTTTTTAAGTCGGGAATAGTTTAATGTTAGGGCTAACAGGTGAATGGTGGGACTTAGTTTTCGATTTTTTACTCTGACCTTACTTATTCTGTATTCACATCTCACTCATGCTCAGAGTTTCTATGAGCTAGAAGGCCACTTTTGTTGTTGTTGTGCTAAGCAAGCTTGTTCATGTAGTGTTTTTGTTTTTTTTTTTTCTTTTCTTTCCTAAGCTCTCCCAGCTCTAATTGTTGCATGTAAATTGTTTAATAAATAATGAAAAAAAAAAAGAATAGATATTAATTAAGAAAAGGATTTAGGCTGACTCAGTCTCATACATGAGACAAAAGGTTAAGTAAATGCCAAGGCCGCTATGCCTCTTCAAACAATGAATATTAGTTTTAGAATCATTAATGTCTGCTTAGAAAACAGAGTCATACTGGAGACTTCTATGCCAAAATAACCAAGGCCAGGGCTGTTTCTTTTCAATCTGAAGCTAAATTATTCTCCAATAGAGGGCTAAATGTATGCAATTAACAGTGTTAGGTAGGACAACAGGGAATGGCACTTTTAATATGTAGCCAAATTGAGATCAAGTTTTTCTTTGAATCTGGTAACTTGGACATTTAATATGCACAACCAAGCTCTGCAACAGAATTAGTGAAAAGAAACAGATAATTAACTCCTTCACTGCTTGTCAGTGGAGACAGAATGATTATGTCAGTGTTTACTGATTCCTGTCTCCTAAAGTGGCTGGATCCACAAAAACAAAGTTTTATTCAATTGCCTTTCATATGTGGGGAAAGGTTTAGACAGTTGTGTAGTCCTTATTAGGATTACAACACCATATTTTTAAAGAAAATTTCCTGGAAAAGATTACTTTCTCAGGTTGGCGGGAGTTTAGGCTGGAATAAACGTGATCACATGAGTTTAACTAAAAATGCTCATTCAGTTTTTGTGTTGAAAAGCTCAAGTTTTCAACACAGTAGGCTGATTGGACTTGAAGGTTCAGTTAATTATTTAAAAAATAAATAGTAAAATACTACTTAAGCAGGTGGGTGACTCTCATTGGTATGTAGGCAAAATTCAAGCCACTTATTAAAACTTCTCCACATTCCTCCTCTAAAAAAAAGTCTGTCTCACGTCACTATGATAAATTCAAAGCAGGATGATAGTGGCACTCGGGTGCCCAGCTGAGGGAGGGCCATTGTGATTTGTAGTAGTGTAGTGCGAAAATAGCCTATTCTCCACAGAGTGTATAGCCCAAAGTGATATGACATAAGGTTGGGTAAAAGTTAAAGAAAATATTGTAAAGACAAGGAACTAAGGTTTCATCTATAATGAATGCATTCCAGCAGCTCAGTGTAAAAAGGAAACATGTTCAACTTGTAATAGATTGCAGCTGAAGCCTCTTCTGCCCCTTCTGAAAGGTACAATGAGTATATTAAAGGCAAGGATGTTTTCTGTACTAGGCAAGACATGTTACTTACTGTGTTAATATCACTGACTTAATACTAGTTTGAGCATACTCAGTGGCAATACTTAATTCTACTCCAGTGATCTCCAAGAGGATGCATGTATTTATTCCCAATTTGCTGCAGGGAAGCGAGATGATAAAAGATGGTGAAGTGACTTCCAGGAGGCAGCTGAGTTGAGCAAAAGCCAAACGAGTCTGGGACTCAGCTCCTGAGCCCCAGCCAGTGCTCTGCCTTGCGCCTCAATCAAGCGGGAGGCTAAGGATCATTCAGAAAGTTTATGACAAAGCTAGAAACTGAAGCTGTATCTCTTAAATCTAGCACCTTCATCCTCCAGCTACTTTCTATCTCCCTGGAGGTAGAAACCAGACTATAGAGCTCATAAAATTTGCATAGTATGTCTCTAATTCACAGTTTTTAATTGGGCAAGAAACACCTTAAATTTTCACTGTGTTTCTACGGCAAATTTTGCTCTGCGAAGTTCAAATCTGCAAAGTTCAAAGATATTTTTAATTCCATGTATATCCAAACTGATCTTGTACTCCTTTGCTCTGAATTCTGCTGGAGCTAAAAGCAATAGTGCATATTTTTGTTATATCTGACCCAGTCATTTCAACCCTGAGAAGTCTTTCAAAACAGTGCATCTGGTTGCAGCTGTGACTCCCTGCAAAGTCAATAGACACATGCAAATAAATCTTCAGTTTCAAATAAAAGGTACACTTTTGTAGCATAGATTTTATTTCTAAAACTGATAGTAAGCATTAGGATCTCTCATTTAACTGCGTAAACACTATAATGTTGAAGGCCTTTGTGTTGTCATCAACAGAAAGCATGAGACCAGTCTGCTCTAGGGCTTGTTTAAGTGAAGGGTCTATGCTAGAATGTGTTGTATTTACATATAATATTTGTGCCATGTCTAGAATCTCCCCCTCCTATTTGTGGTGTTTTCTACTTTCGAGTTAAATAAATGGAGAATGGATACTTCCAGGAACATGTGCTTGAGCACAGTCCTGAGCTTTATACTTTCCTTTAGGCCTTATGCCTGCTAATACTAGGCAGCAATGGAGATATGACCAAAAAAACAGATTATCACTTACCACTGTTGAGTTCTTTCAGTGACTGACTGTCTGTACTCAGGCTGGGTACACTATATATTAAGTACATTCCTCACTGTAGGGAGCTAGCATGTGGCATATGTTAACAGTCCACATTTAAACCATCTTCATTAAGAACATTTGGAAAGAATCTGTGCATTTCCTAAGTGTGAATCATTATTTTTTTTCTTTGCAAAATTTTATTTCTAGCGATCAGGGCATCCTTTGCTTTCTCCTACCCAGGTGGCCTGACTGCTGAATGCACAAGAGTGCTTCAACAACAGGAAGTCTCCAAGCTGAGGCCATCATAGTGGTCCCAGCTGCCTGCAAGATCTATGAACTGATGGAGGTGACCTAGGACCAACTTCCCTCTGGCTGCACCTGCCTATTTCATTACTTGCAAGTATTTGATTTTGAAAATACTTAGCTTTCAATTATTTCTCCATGAGTTCACACCAAAAGGTCAAGTATGGCCTTGCTATATTTGCTAGAGGTCTGGCTCTGGCAGACTGGCTGCAGAGGGTTGCTTTTCAGGCCAGGCCTGAGATCAAATTGTCCTCTTGCTTGTCTCTTAACGTGCAGGGGTGCCTGTACAGTTGGCTTTGGGGAACACAGCCAGGACTTTGGAGAGAAAATCTGTGTTATTTTTTTGCTCATCCCTTCACCCATCCCGTTTGCTCTTAAGGCAATGTTGTGTGATCAGTCCAGGGCAGGCAGCATGGCCCCAGGCCCTTCTTTCTGATACTACCACAAAAAGTAGCTGAGAGCTTAAATTGCTCTGAAGGGGAGAAGACGGTGGGGCGGAGTCTTGAGAACAGCCTGGCCATTTCCTTCTGCCAAACACCTTCTCACACACCAAGTGACTCAAAACTGTCTCACCTCCAGCTTTTTGCTGTGGTTACCTGGAGCAGCTGCTGACTCCAGGCTCTGCCAGCCATGCTCTGAGCAGGCTTATGTTCCCTTTGCTGCTCCCATACCATGGTGGTGGGGGCATGTGATACATGTAGATAGAGAGATATGCTCCACACCAGCAAAGGAGGCGCCATCACTGTAGGGGAGGAAGAAATTAAGCGCTATCTGTACAAGCCTACTTGTACTGCTATTAAGTGGGGTTGTGTTCTACTTTTGATGCTAACATGCTTAATGTGGTCGTAGCTGTTAAGTGTGGGGCAAACTTATCAAGAGCCAGCGAGCTCTTGCAGCAGCAAGCTCCTTTTGCCATCACTAGTGCAGATCTCATATTGATCTTGCTGGCTGCTCCAGTCCTCTCTTTTCCCTCCCTGCAGGCTGCTTCAGGCCTTTTTCTCAGCACCTCCGCCGGCTGCTCTGATCTGCGTTCCCTCTGTTCCCATCTGCTCCTCCAAGCACCTGTTTTGCAGCCCTGCATGGCCGCTCGGAGCCACTGCCTCTCATCTCTCTGTGGCCTCTGCGGGCCTCAATGTCTCGGTTCTCCTGCCTCTCTGCCAGATGCTCTGTCTCCCCTCACCAAGCCCCCTCAGGGCCCCTTCCTCTCATCTCATACCGTTTCTTCCTTTCCGCTCCTGCTTCCCCAGGCAGCCGCTCTGTGGCTCCCCCAGGCCTTGCCGCCGGGCCCCACGTTACTCTTGATGCTGCTGTTCCTGTGCTGCAGGACCCAGGCCACTGTCAGAGCATGCTGGGGTGCAGAGGTGTTCGCATTAAGCTCAGTCTTTCCCCAGGGGACCTCACCCTGTTTTAGAGAGTAGCCCATCCCGTCACTCAGTGTGTCTGAGGCTGCTGACAAGCCGAACGAGGGCTAGTCTCCAAACCTAGCAACATTTAATCTCCAGCGCCAAGTTACTAGGATATCATAGACTGTTGGATTCCGCTCAGACATAATTCCATCATTACCATTGATTTGTTCACTCCTGCTCCCCGTGGTGCTTTTAATCAACTCTCCATCTTTGTGCCTTCACACCTTTACGCTTCTCATGATTGGCTCTGCTACATTCTGCCTCTGCAATGAAGTAGGACCATAGAAATCCTTCTGTATCTTACATACATTAACAATCCCATTTCTTCTCTCCCTGGTCCAGTGAAGGGATCTCCCTTTCCTGCAAAGGCACTACCGTCTCTACAAAGCGCCCTGGTTAGTGAACAGGGAATGGTTTCTATTCATTATTCCTCCAAGTCTGGGACAATGGATTATAATTAGCTAGTGGCCTCTCTGGTTTACTCTACTTTTGAAGGCTCTTTTGTAGCTTATGAGTGAAGGGAGATGCTGACATTAATTTTGGCTGTCTTTCCATAGCATCGTATGCAGGAGATAAAACTAATACACAGGCAAAGGAATAAGTAACTCACTAGCCAAAATAAATAAATAAGGAGTAGCAAATAGGGTCATCATCACACTCCTTTCATGAAAGTAGTGTGATGTTAAAGGGAACTCATTACCCTTTTTGTTCTGCATTATCACCATCATTTATCAGCAGCTGTATCACATGTCACAACTGCTATCCTTTCTGGCATCCTGTGTGGTACCAAAGAGCTCCTTGACAATGCTGAATTTAGGCTTCAGGTTCTACTGTGTGATACACTAGGCAGTGTATTAATTGTGGCAGATAGAATTTTTTCCAATATCCTCCTAAAGGGACACTCAATAAAGCAAAGCAGTGTGATTTACCAACTGAAAGAGGCTTGGACAAATAAAACCACCTCATGGTGGTTTTAGGTTTAAGGCCTGTCCTTCTTTCTCCTAAACCTTTATCAGTTCATTAGTACTAAAAGTCATTTGAAAAAAAAATCCAAACCCACAAGAACAAAACATTAGGCTAATCAGTTCCCACCACCCTGCTTTCAGTGAAACACGTCATTTTGGTTCTGTCTCAAGAGGCAGTGACCTATTAAATCTTTAAAGAAGTCTGTTTCTTCTTTAAGCCATGACTCTCTCCTTACTTTTGTGACTATATATACTATTCTCCCATGCAAAGGAGAGTTTGAGGATTAGTTTTAGAACTGGAAGCTGGTTTTATAACTAGAAGATTAGTTTTAGAGCTGGAAGCTCCACAATGAACTTAGGCCTTCAGAGTTTATGGAAAATTTCTGGACAGTCTTTAGCAGCCTGGTAATATTGGCATTGTATAAAGAGGCTTTTTAGAAAAGCAGCATATTTAGCACAGCTAAAATAACTGAGCAGAAATAGGTAGAAAATATATACACATGCACACACATACATATATATACGTATACATGTATATACATATATACGTGTATATACATATACCCACATATATATATGTGTACCCCTGCATACATATGTTTACAGTACCTATACATTCCATATATACACACATATAACACACATTTTTTCACTGCTGTATTGAGGACATAAATTCAGATTTTTCCCACAAGTGCACTGAGTGTGGGTCTCAGAGCTATGTCCAGGTGATAATTGTCCACCCTTTTACATCAGTGCAGAAATACATTGGAAGAAAGGGAATTGCAGCCTTGTTCAAGCAGTCAAGTTGCCATTATCAGTTCAAGCCAGTGATGGAAGAAAGTATCTGATATTTAAAAGGGGCATGTATTTGCTATCGCATCTAAGAAAAGAAGAAATGTTTTTCAGTATTTTGAGCATCATAACAGGACAAATGAGGGTTTGTCCTGACCCTCTCTAGATTTGGGCAGTCATTTAACCCTATGGCTGTATTTGCCAGGAGCAACAGCATTTGCTTACTCCACAGGCAGATTGTGAGGATTAATTAATACTTTCAAAGGGCTTTGATGATGGAAGTACATTAAGTACTAGATAGTAATAGTGATAATAAATTTATAATTTTGAAGTGTAAAAGTCTTTGCTTAACCTTTTCCAGTCAGAACCTTTTATTTCTAACAGCCAAACAAGTAATCCCGCTATAGCCAGAGCGCCTGATCCCTTATTTTCCAAAGCACTGGAAAATGTTGATTGGGCAAGGCACTAAATAAGTACCAAACACATTCACTTGCACCTTTTAAATAAGTTATGGTAGGTTTTAAAATATGATATGACACAATACTTTAAGTGTACTGAGCTAACATGCCTGAGGTGATGCTGCCTGCTCAGTGTGCTGGAGGTGAACTAAACCAGCTGCAAATGCATCCCCAGATTTTCGCTACTTCCCAACCACCCTGCTGGTGGCTGCTGCCAGCAGCCCTCTCCCGCGTTTGCTGGTCATGTCCTCCCTGCTCCGCTGGCCCAGCCACACCAAGGTGTCTTGCTTGGCTGCTCGATCCTTTGCTGCAAGGGGCTCGCAGGCATCTGAGTGGCGATCGTGGTATTTTCTTGTCCAAGCTTTGAACTTCTTGTTGAAGTGTATGTACATTGTCTGAGCTGAATAGCGAGAAACGCTTTGATTCCTAGCGGTTTCCTGCTGTGTGCAGCCGCATGGGGGAAGGTCGAGGGCAAGAAGAAGTAGTAATGTGCAGAGTATCGCATTGGATATTGCCAGTATATGGCACCTACCATTACCTGTTTAGATTTTATGCCAAGAAAATCAGGCGCTGATGTCAGACAGGCAAGGGGAAGTCTGTCAATGCATTTAATTTGAAACCAGAAACAGTTTCAGGCTTGTATGGGCCAGGTCTTTAAGGCCAGTTTGGTGGCATTATGAAAAATGTTTTTTCCTCTGAAAACTTTGAGATCTAAGAATTTTGTCTGGAGTATAAACAGTGGGACTCTCATGAAGAGTAAAATTTATTTCTCAGTTTGATAGGGTCAAGTAACTCTAGCTGGGATCAGCTAATGTTTCACAGAGCCTGATGTTTTTGTGGCTAGGGAATCCCTTGAGGAAGTGAGTTATCCAATTCTGATGAAAAGCTCCTAGTAAAATGAGATACTGTTTCTGAGCATATCAAAGGAAAATGGAAAGTAATGAAAATTAAAAGTGCAGCCCTGGAATCCTGTAAAATCTTGACAAGATAGCAATCAGTAATTCACTATCCATGATTTTTTCTCTTTTTCTACCCCATCTCCCATACACATACAATCATGCATGCCCAACCCCTACCTCTCTCTCAAGTTAGATGACCTTAGATATCTTTCTCTCCTTCTCTCCACAGCCCCACAGCCAAATCCTCAACTAACAAAAGAAAAAGAAATAAGAATGGCAGTCAGGCTGGGTTAACTCACCAAACCCCAGATTTTCTCTGATGAGCTATTTCTTTAAGGAGGAATCACCAGCAAAACAGAGAATAATCTTCCAAACAACAAGTTTACCTGTCCTATTTCCTTAACCTCTGAATTATTAGTTGAAGACCTGGGACATTTCTAGAAATGCAGAACTTTTTTTAGGAGGAGAAGAAGGCTTGTAGCTTTTGACAATTTGTCTGTGGTCAGAAAGAAAATCTGGGGCCAGTGTAAGAGCTCATGACTTTTACATGAGCAAAACAGGAGACAGCAAAAAGGATAAATAAGAGGATATGCTGAAGAAGGGGGGAAACATTTTCTTCACTGTTAAAGAATTTTTTTAGCTGTCTGTCTCCGTGCAAGCAATTAAACTTTTCGCACTATGAAAACCTGGAAATAAGAAAGATTTTCTGTTTGTTTATACTGTATTTTCTACAGACCTGGACTGTTCTTTCTTTGTGCAACCTTTATCTGGAAACTTGTTTCCTGGAGACACCAAAAGAAATACTTTGCATTATCATTTCCTTTTTTATAGTGTTCTTTCAAGATAACCTCTACCATTCTTGATATTGGCTTCTAAAAACAAACTGGCTAGTTCAACTAACTGCGGAGAATACATAATGTCAATATACAGGAGACAATACAGGAGAGAGAAGTGGTTTTATTATTGCCTGGGTTACAACAGATATGTAAAGTCTAGGTGACCAAAATCTGGAATTTGTTCTCTTTTTTTTTTTTTTTTTTCCCTTCATTAATGCTGCACCCTGGATCTGAAGCTCTAGCAAGGACACTGCTCAGATTTTCTTTTTTGCTTTCCCGTCCTTATTTTTTTCTAGGTTGCTTTAATCTGTAATATCAGCAATAATCACTGTGGCATTGTTGCCTAGGCATTCTTGAAGAGTCAGGAGTGGACTGTAATTGAAGAGTTCATTACCAAGATCAGTTGGCTCCTTGATTACAGTGGCAAGGTGAAATATATATCCTCACCAAAAAGCAACTGCTAAACCTTTAGAGAAGTCACCCACTTTTCACTCTTTTTCATTAGGACCCCGACAAGCTTGTCAGCAAAATTAAAGGTATGTCATTCACATCGTGCATGCATTGCAAAGGACTATAAACCTGCCAACCTCTTTGATGAAATAAAAGGGTTTTATTTATGATTCATGTAGGAATATGAGGTTATTTTTATTCTGTCAGTACACTAATAATCAGACAAGAGCTCAGGAAATGAGAAGGCAAACTGACAGGGGATGTTCTGATAAAGGGGAACCCTCTAGGGTGTTTTGCCCCCTTTATAATCTCCTCCTTTTTAGTGCGCGGTTATAAGCATGGCATAGCATGATCTTGCAACTAACTTGGCTCACAGGAACAAAGAGAGTGAGTACCTAGCAAGACTCGAGGTATAATTCCACAAGAAAAAGAAAATGCTTCCACCAGAGAAGTTTGCATTGCTGCAGTGATGCGAACAGGAACATCACCTCTGGTTTTCCCAAGAACATGGTGTGTTGTAAAGATACCCCTCTACTCTTGTTGCTTTCCCACTGGGCAACATAACTAATCTTAACGGAAACAACAAAGAGTCTGTAAACCTCATACATAAACCACTGAAAAATTGCTAGATATAATTTGTTTTGTATCATATTTTCAGGACCCAAGGCAGGACTTTTTCCCAAATGCCCTGTCTAGCTTGACATGAGACACAACAGCCCAGCAAAGGGTGGAAGGCAGAGGTAACTCCCTCCAGAATCCCTGGTCAACAGTATTTATGCTTGCAGGATCGGAGTGCATTTAAAAATGTCTTGCCCTATATAGTTCAAATGTTTAGGCAGTCTGAAGCTGCTTTAATCCTGTTACAGCTCTGCAAATTTCTGGAAGTACATTTTGTTCTTGTTGGTGTAAGCTGTCATTCTTACCATAAGCACTGCCGTGATTCCAGAAATTCTCCTTGTGAGTAAAAAAGTGTCACTGTATTAGCTGGCTAGCCGTAAGTACAGTAGTTTGCAGAACAGTGGTGTGCTGGCAGGAAAACAGACTAGCAAAATGTATGCAGGATGAAGTGAAACAAAGTTCACGGGAGGAAGGAAAATAATACTAATCCTTCATTCAATAAGCAGTGAGTTAAGTACATTTTGTGTGTTGAGGAAATGTAAAAGCAAAGGAAAGAAAGCACACAGAGAAAGGTGATGCGAAGTGCCTTCCTTTCTAAAGACAACATATGGGACATTTAGGTTTAGTGATAACAGGAGCTATTTCCAGTCTGCTGATATGAAATGCAGACCCTGGTTAAAGGTTCCTCAAAGTTTTGGTGTTTGAATTCCTTCCAACCAGAAAATCCCCTTGAAGCAAACAACTGATGTTAACATTTTCATGGCTTGTTTGAATTGTTGAATAGACCTGTTTTAGACTTGGAGAATAGACCTAGATTATAACCAATGTTTGAGATGGGATTCACTGCTCAGCTCTGTGATCTCAGACATAGTTTTCCATGTTCACATTTGTACTTCACAAAGGTTTGAGAAGTTTGGATTTGATTACATGGGGCTGGCTTTTGAAAGAAGACAGTGTCATGGTTCAGCCTTCAAAGTATCCCAGAGAAGCACTGCACAAAAATAGTCTTGTTTTAGGAGTTCCTTGATGGGATATGTTGCAACATCCTGCATTTGAAAACTATATCGTGAGATTGTAGGCCTTCTTACCAAGTATTCTTGAGTTCCTGATTCTTTTGTGATTTTGCTGGAGTTATGATTCTCTACCAAGAAATTACTGGTTTGTGTAGAATAGAATGCAAGAATTACAATTTTGTGTGTGTGTGTGTGTGTGTATATCTGTGTTTCACAACAGTAATGGGTGTTTTGGAAACACGTTTTTTAGTGTCCCTCTTAATCTGTCCCAGAAATTATTAGACCTGTCTCTGTGATCATTTCAGGATGCCCCACAGTGTCATCTTCCAGAGTCCTGTTGCTGCTCTTAAGCCAGCCTAATGCCTCTGCCATCTTATTACCCCTTAAGGCTAAGGTTAATCCATAGGGCCTACTGGAGGCCTGCTATACGTGGAAATGTAAGTCTCAGTAGGCCTCAAGTAAGTCTAGAAACTGATTGCACTGCTGCCTAAAAAGGATTACTTGTTCTCTTCCAAGCACTGCCTGTGAGCATCTTACCTGAAAGAGATGACAGCCAGATGTTTCCTTCTACCTGTTCAATTTCTTTTCTTAGGCTTGTGGTGCTTTGTGTGTACTCAGTCTCTTTTTCTCCCATGGAGAGCCTTTGAATGACTTTCCCTCCTTGTTAGTGTGTCTTTGCAAAGAGAAAATGGCATTTACAACAATTTAAAACTCTTGATGGCAAAACCTGCTGCCATTAGTAAAGGAGCTTAGAACAGAGGAAGTACCTGAAATTCCTCTCAGTGCATTTACAAAAATTGCTTATATTTCAGGGGCTGGAAATACCCAGATATTGCTGTTCACAGTTCGCTTGGTGCTAGGATTTTCTGAAAAACTATCCATCTAGAGAGAGTCAGCTGGATTTGTGATGACTGTGTAGTGCTGAAAGGTCACAGAGTAGCCTCAAGAGCTTGCTATCCCTTTGAAACTATCCTTCCTTCTGTTGACGCAGTGATTTAAAATAAAAGTTAATTTTATTTCCCTCAGCTAATTACAAATGGTGCCCTTCCAAACTCTTGATCTTTTCAAACAGCCAAAGGCGTCACTAACAAATTTTACCCGCTATTTAGGAGGCTGTGATATTGTGCTGCTATTTCCCAGAGCAGCCGAGTATTTCTCCTTGTACCTCTCAAGCCTGCCATTGTGCTGAAAAGTAGAGCAGGTAACTACTTCAGCAGTCCGAGATTTCATTCTCGTGGAGCACAGAGGTTCATTATACTTACTTTATCAGCAGTAAGGTTTACTGCCGAATCCATGAGAGATATTCATGTGAAACATGAGCAGAGAGAGAGGCATTGCATCTTTTCATTAATAAGCCCTCTTCTGGGATCCGGCATTAGTGAGATTCAGCGGATCATAGAGCACAGGGGTATCATTTTTACATGATTACTCTAAATTCTTAAACCAGAGGCTTAAGAGAGAGGCTTCTCACAAAGGCAGCTGTGGGAATTGTTAAATGATTGGCACAGCACTCGCAATGGGCTGAACCACGCTAGGTACCTCCAGTCATGGGGGTACCAGCAGGCATTTTATTACCTGCCACCAAGGGAAAAGTGGGAAAGAGAGAGTGCATCAGGCAGGGGAAGATGTGCTAATGCTGCAAAATATCTCTGTAGTACCTCTGTGGTTCTCTTCTGCTGAACAAAACTCTTGCCATAATACTTATGTAGGGCTTTGCCGCACCTACAGGCTAAGCAATTCTCTTCCCTTACTCTATCTATCTTCTTTGTAGCTAGGCTTATTTTTCACATGCTTGTTTGCACCTTCTTTAATAAAATAATTCCTATGCAAACTTTAGCTTTTGAATGAGCAGTGAGTGATTTAATTCCACCAAATGAGATATCTCTGAGATTTTCTACATGTGATAACTTCAGGTGGCCCAGAGGATTGGTACACAACTAGCAAGTCTTGGCTAGATTGAGAGCTTGAGGATGTTAACAATAGAGAGAGAAATCTGTGGATTCTAGACATACGATGTCATCTTGATGTTACTACATGTTTCTTGTGTGATTTTGTGCAGCTTCATGTATTTAAATAAGTCATCAATTTATCTAAAAATATTGTGTCTTCCTCCCTCTGTCCTCGCTGTTCATCCCTGACAGCCTGGGTGTGGATCTGGTAAACAAAAACCAGGGAGCTAATCTGACTAAAACAAAAACTCTTTTTTTCCCCTTTTTTTTTTTTTTTCTCCTCTCCATGGATTAGTTTTCAGATGGATAAGTTTCTCAATCAGTTTCAAAATACAGATGCACAAATGCTTATTGCAGCATGATAAAAAGGACCCCATGGGGACAGAAGAGACTGGACTGTTTCTGTCATTCTTGATATCAGTTTATGTCAGCCAAAAGTCTTTGCTGAACTACAGCTTCAGTTTCCCATGTAGAAAAGATTGGGATATTGCTAATTCTCTTATTTCATGTGGGTCTGCAAGTATAATATGTTCAACATTTGCCAGATATATTTGCATTTGTTCATAGAAAACACCCAAAGAGCTAGATCACATAACAGGCATTTCATCTATGCAAACTGCACAGTTTGGGTAGGCAAATGTGCATGAAACAAAATGCTTATTTTACCAAGAAGCGCTTTCAGTGGGAGATCAACTTGAGAAGTAGCATACTGAGTGAAAAGTGTGATGCTGAACTCTAAACCATGACCTTTGTGTGAAGCCTTCAGTGTTCTCTTCCTCAGTTTACGCCTGCCCTTAAGCAATTGCTCTGACAGGCAACAACTGCCTCAAGCATCCCAAAATGTCATTAATGCTGAAATATAAAGGTGACTACATCTCCATTTACATTTCTCTGATGAGAGTACCAGCAAAAAAAACAGGCCATCGGCTTTATCCTTCCTTTGCAATCTCCCCAGCATGCTGAGGTCCAGCTGCAGAAATCTCCAGCTTCCCAGATGTGCCTGTTCTGCAGGATGTTGGCCTCTCAAAGTTGCCATCCTGAATTCATCAAAGAAGGTGAAACAGTCCCAAAGACAGCAAATGCTGTAATTTGCCTTCCTTCTTGTATCTCATCCATTTCTCTAATAGCGAGGGGGTGTTTTGAGCTCTGAAGTGCAATACCAAATAGCCAGTTTAAAGGTTTTATTAGCATAAATAATGTTTTATCCAAGTGGTCCTTCTGCAGTACTGTTAGGTTCTTGATCCTGCTGATTCCCTGTGGCAGTGAGTTCCATGATATAGTTATCAGTAGTATAAAAGATGCATTTATTTTCATTGAATTTACAATCTTTCAATTTCAGTGAAATTTCAGTATCCATCCCAAGTATAGTTACAATATGTATGTTTTGGATGCGTACACTAACAGACCAAACTGCAGAATAAAGATGTGGAGACAAATTTGCTACCTTATTGTACATCACAATAAATAACAAAAGAGCACCTGTAATGATCATTTACTCTGATATATTGATTTTTTCATTTGTTTAATAAGAGAGAAGAGGGAGAGGGAGAGGGAGAGGGAGAGGGAGAGGGAGAGGAGAGGGGCGGGGAGGGGGGGGGAGGAGGGAGAGGGAGAGGGAGAGGGAGAGGGAGAGGGAGAGGGAGAGGGAGAGGGAGAGGGAGAGGGAGAGGGAGAGGAGAGGAGAGGGACAGGGACAGGGGAGAAGGATTTCCAGCTCTGGTCCAACAGGCCTTTCGAATCTAAGAGCAATATTGGAAAAGTTTGAAGCATCCTGCTGTAAACTACTTATAACTAATTTCAGGCAGAGATGTTCCACTTTGAGAGGACCTGTTTCAATCTAGTGCTTTCTACAAGTCCTAAAAGAAAAAGAAAAATGAGAGCCAAGAAGGCGAGGTCATGTGGGAGACTGAATAATCCAGATCAAACAGCAAAGAACACCCGATTAGAAGCCAACAC